CTTCTTAGAAACAGTCCACCTTTCTTTTAGAGACAGGGTCTGGCACTGGGACCTGGAACTTACCAAGTCAGCGAGGCTGGCTGTGACCCTCAGGGTCCATTTGTCTCTGCCTCTCCAGCACTGGAATTACAAGCACATATGTCATGCTTGACAACAACCAAACAAAACACAGCGAGGGCTCTGGCACTCTCCTTGGGTTCCAATGCTTAAGGCAAGCACTTTACTAACTGAGCATCTCACCAGCTGCCCCCACTACAATTTTTGTTGCTGTTGTTAGTTGAGCTGCTTTCTGCCTTTTCTTCTATGGTATTCTCTGGACGAGATGCAGCTGTATCTGTTGGGGCTGGATTCCCCAAGACCTGTGGATCTCTTCATTGTGTGTTTTTTTTTATTGCTTCCATGTGCTGTAAGGAGAAGCTCTCTGATGAGGGGTGTTAGCTACACTTACCTGTGGGTACACACAGATAAGATTTCTAATGTAGGGAGGAATGATGCTGGCCTAACAGAGTGGTGGTAGTCTATTCCTTTCTAAGATCCCTGACCTCAGTATTCCCTGGGAAACTGGCTAAATATGTAGCACCAGGCATGATTTTCTCCTGTCGAGTGGGGCTTAAGTCCAATTAGATAGTTGCTGGTTGCCACTGACATGTGAGTATCACTTATTGCACCTTTATGCATGTTCTAGCTAGTTTTATTTTTATGTCAGCTTGACACAAGATGGAGTCATCTGAAAGGAGGGAACTCAATTATAAAATACCTCCATAAGATCCAGCTGTAGGGCGTTTTCTTAATTAGTGATTGATGGGGAGGGGTCAGCCCATTGTGGGTGGGGTCACCCCTGGGCTGGTGGTTCTGGGTTCTATAAGAGTGCAGGCTGAGTAAGTCATTATGAGCAAGCCAGTAAGTGGCACTCCTCTGTGGTCCCTGTAACAGTTCCTACCTCCATGTTCCTGCACTGCTTGAGTTCCTGACCTCACAGTTTTGATGATGATGACTGTTATATGGAACTGTGCGTGAAATAAACCCTTTCCCCCATGTGTTGCTTTAGATCATCACAGCAATAGTAACCCTAACTAAGACACCATCTAAGTGGATACTGGTGGTGGTCACTTCCCAAGAGGAAGGACAGATTGTACACTTTACAGAGAAGAGGAAGTGCCAAGAAGCCTTACAAAAGTAGATGTCAGCAGCTCAGTTTAACTGTGTCTTAAGTTAGAGTTCCTTAGTCTGTTTTCCTATTCCTATGTAACCTAATATTTTCTAAATAAGCTTCTTAGGAAATTCATCCTATTCTTATTTTGACTAAAAACTTGTTTACAGTTTCTCTTTATCAGCAATTGCAGAATCTTACATGTGTATAAATTTTAAAATAGACTTCTATTTCCTTATACCTCACAATGCCTCTGATCTATGGTGATGGAAAAACCTTCCCTGAACATGTCAGGCTTGGAATTGGCAAAGCCGTCCTCTGGTCTGTGTAGGAATGTTGACAGTGCAACAGATTAGGGTATTTACAAATGATTGACCAGAATGGGCAAAACTAGCAACTACAGAAGGTTTTCTTCCTGGGTATTTACAGCTGGGAACTACTTACAGAGACCTCTTATTTCCTACAGAGTCTAGCTAACCCTTCCGCACACTGTACATAAAAAATATACAGTTTCTGGTTGCTGTGTAGTTGGTGCCACTCAATCAGAATGCCTACAGCCCACCTGTGGTGGCCCACATTTGACTCAGTTTCCATCTGGAGTCTATTCTGACTTACAAGTCATTTGAGTTCAAGCCTGCTTGTTTCAGTCCCCTTGAGAGCTGGGAGAAAGTTCTCATAAGCCCAAGAGAAAGAAGGCATTATTTTTTTTCATTAATTTTTCTTATTAATTTATTTTTTACATTCCAGTCCCAGTTCTCCCTCCCTCCTCTCCTTCCTCTCCCCCCACTCCCCTCCTCCCTACCTTCCATCACTCCTCAGAGACGGTAAAGCCTCCCCTAGGAAGTCTACTAAGTCTGTACCATCATCTAGTTGAGGCAGGATCAAGGCTCCTCTCCACACCCACACCCCTGTGTCTAGGCTAGACAAGGTATCTTTCCATAATGAATGGGCTCCATTAAGTCAGTCTGTGCATTAGAGATAGATCTTGGACCCACTGCCAGTGGTCTCATATATTGTCCCAGTCACAAAATTGTCAACTATATTAAGGGAGTCTAGTTTGGTTTTATGCAGGTTCCCATTTGTCAGACCTGAGTCAGTGATCCCTCACTAGCTTGGGTCAGCTGATTCTGTGGGTTTCCCAATCATGGTCTTGAGTCCTTTGTTCATATTAACGCTCCTCCCTCAAGAAAGGCATTATCTTATGATGTAGGCTGGTGAAGGCCAGCCGAAAGACACAGAGAGCTAGGGAATGAAGCTGCTTGCTGCTAGCAGGACTTACATGATAGATAGCCAGTCTGTCTTCTCTGATTCAAGAACAGAGAAGGGGGCTGGTTTACTGACTCTGCTGCTCTTTGTTCTGTTTTGCCTTTAGCTTGTATAAAAGCAGGTTTTAAATTAAACTTGGGGCTGTTTGGTGTGCTGTTTGGCACTGACTGGACAATCCTCCCAACTCTGTCTTGTTGTCTTTGTCTTAATGCCCCTGTTTCAGGTATCCCAGTTGCCTCATTGGAGCAGGCTCCAATATCCACCTAATCCCAGCTTTCCTGTGTGTGTATGCGTGTGTCTGTCCTTCATTCCATTGATGTCCCCAGTGAGGTTTCCAGGACCAAGCGGTGCAGGAGGTGACAGAAGAGGGTAGCAGGTAACTGGAACTGGAGTTACAGATATTTGTGAGGTACCATGAGGGAGCTGGGAGTCACACTCAGGTCCTCTGCAAAAGCCACTATTAAACCTTAATAAAATATATGGTTTACAACCATAGGATAGGTTGATTTTTTCATTTTTGTTTCTTTTTATTGTTTATATTTATATATTTCTTTTTTAATTTTTATATTTTTAAAAATATTTATTGAGAAGAGGTCTTGCTAGGTACCTCAGGCTGCCTCAAACTTGTGACCTTTTTATCCTAATCTCCAAGTGATACAAGTATGTATTACCAAGCCCATGTGTTTTGAAATATAAATACATTGTAGGGTGGTTAACTTGAATCATTAATGTGTGCATTATGTCACATACTTTGCATTTTTCCTTGTGATAGGAACATTTAAAATACACTCAGCAATTGTCAAAGATATAGTACATTGTGGGGGCTGGAACAATGGCTTAGTGGTTAAGAGTATTTATTGCTCTTGCAGAATACCCACATTTAGTTTCCAATAGCCAGGTGGCAGCTCTCAATCATCTGCAACCCCAGTTCTGACTTCTGTGGGCAGCAGACATGCATGTGGAACACATGCATACATGCCAGTAGAGCAAGCATATACATAAAAATGTGTAGAACATTATGATAGTATTCACAGTCACAAGGTTGCTTAATTGGACTCTTGAGTACATTACTCTTGTTTAACTGGTTAATTTTCCAACTGTGCTTAGGTTTGGGCTCAGAGCCTTATGACTGCTAGGCAAGTGCTGTACCTCTGAACCTCTGATCCAGTCCTTTGACCAGTATCTCCCAAAACCCATGAGTCCGCAGTCTTGGTCCCATTGCTCTGTCTTTTAAGAATGCAATCCCTTATATACCTGAAATCATGTGGTACTTTTCAGGGTCCAGCATGCTTCACTGAACACTCTGTCTTCCTGGTTCTTCATATTGCTCCAAATGCCAGGATTATTGCTTCTTCTTTTTCTCCTTTGTCTTCATTTTCATCTTTTTGTCTTCCTCCTCCTCTTCTTCAACTTCTCTTCTTCCTCCTCTTCTTCCCTTTTAGGCTGTTAAAGAGCTGTTTTATTTTCTCCACCATCACCACCTTTATTGTGGGTTGGGTGCTTTGCTTTTATTCATGTTATATTTTTTCCTTTTGTGGTGGTGATTATTTTTATTCATTTCTATCTATTTCTATATTTTTATTTCAGCATGCAGAATAGTTGGCTTCATTATGACATTTTAATTCCTGCTAGGTTTTGCTTGATCCTCTCCCATCTTCTTCTCTCCTATAGCTCCCTATTTTCTATTCCCACCTAAATACTTAGGATTTTTTCTTTTTGTGGATGAAGATAGTTGATCTATTGAGTGACACAGGTTGAATCCAAGTGAATAGTGAATGCTTTTGTGACTAAACATAGGAATGCAAGCATCTCTAAAATTATCATTTCATTTCCTTTGGATGCGTATCCAGGGGTGGGATTGTTGGATCATAAAGAAGAAAACTACACTTATCTTAAATGCAGTAGTGACTCTTAGAACAGCACACATGTACAAAATCACACCCAAATGTTTACAGTAAGCCACAAGCCCTCGTGCTCCTCTCTTGTCACATCCTCAACAGAGCAGGGAAATTCCCCGTTTTGAAAGACCCTAGCTTGACTCTTCCCCACCGTCTACAAGTTTGTCATGCTATTTCTGTCAATAGGAGCACTGACCAGCATGATTCCTACATATCTCAGATCTTCAACACAGTCACCAAAATAAATTTAAGCCAGGGCAAAGTGGCATATACCTCTGATCCTAGAAGTTGGAAAGTTTGAGGATTAATTCCTAGAAATGAGGTTCCCAAGTCAAAGGGCTTCATTCTGGTGATTTGTGCTGATCTTCACTGTTTGAAGCTCAGTGGAGAGAGAATCTCTATGCAGAGAGTTCACACTGCATGACTTCCATCTATGGATGCAGAGTTCACAAATGTTGAAGGATGATGCGATAGAAAACAAGAAGTTACCTGGGTCTCTCTGGCTCCCAAGGATCTTTGTGTCAGGTATCGGCTACTCACCACCACCTGTACTGTGTGAGACGATCTTTACCTGCTTAAGCTTTTCTTACTTGATTGAAAAAAATGTATACAAGGTATAGAAAATGCTAACAGCCATTTCAAACATGCGTTTCTGAAGAGATCAAAGCAACATGGCTTCTCAAATCTTACTGAGCATGCCAACATTCAGACAGATATCCTTCCCTGTGAATCAGCATAAATGGGCTGAGAACTGCATAACCAAGGGTCAGAAATTCTTGCAAATGCAATGTTAAGGAGTCATTCTTCAAAGAGAAGGATAAATATAAAGAAACAAAACAATCTGTCGAATAGAAGAAAACAAAACAGAGCATCAGCAGGAGGACACTCTGAGCAGCTCTCAGTTCAGGGGGGGTTCTGCAGAGAAGCTTGGAGTTCTGAAGGTAGAGGACATGCTGGTGGTGCTTGTGGAGAAGAAGTACCATATAGCCACTGGCCCCTCCCATGGCACCCTGAAACACAGCATCTCTCAGGACCATGAGGGTGAGAAAAATGCTGTTTATTTTCTGACTTTCTTTTTTGAAATAACAATATTTATTATTTTTACTCAGTTGTAATGTGTTTGTACTTCTGTTTCTGGTGGAATAGAGGAGGTTCATGCTAATCAAGGAATTGAGAATCCAAAAGAAGAGCAGCAAGAGAAGCACAGGTCCTGTAGACCTCAGTCTTAGCCTCCCCCACCAGGAGGCTCTGGGACTCATGATGATGGCCTGGACCACTGTGAGGAGACTGTTGGTGCAGATGGAGAGGCCCCGAGCCACCCTATCCAGGTAAACAGTGATGTGACAGCCTATATCACCTAGGAAATGTATCAGACCTAAAGCTGCAATTGTCGTTGGCATGCCCTTGGAGAAAAGCGTTATAATATTTGTAAAAGCCAGGTGGATGAGAATAAGGTATATAGATTTCTTTCCAGAACCCACAAAAGCGCATATGTAATTCACAAAAACAGAAATATTTGCCACAGTGCCAAGTCCAGTTAGAAGAAGGAATATTGTCGTTTCACTAATATTCAAAACCATTTTTAACTTCATAGGCAGAACATTTTGGATCTTCCAAATAGAGTTTGAGGAAATGATGTGTATCTATAAAATACATTGTATGTCATAGTGTGTTTCTTGACACATGCAATAGAACAGATTTTCTTTTTTAATCTAAAGAATTCTACTTCTTGTTGTCTTTATGGGCCATCTTGTACTTTAAGTGGAACTTGTGGCAGAAGATTAAACATTTTTGAAATCACAAAACAGATTTACTCCACTGACTTCCATACTAGCAAAATTAAATTACATGTTCAAATATTTACATATCCCATGTATTTTGAACCTCAGTGTGTGTTGAAATAAACTCAAAGGCTCCCCAATCAGAATGTCTCCTTGCATTTTCTATTTAACTATGTTATCACCCCATGAGTCAGTTCCCAACCTACACCTCTCCTTAATCTCCCTTCCTGCATACCTAGGTGAACAGACACTTCTCAAAATCATTGTGTCAAGCATGGTGGGCTCACTTCTGTGATCCCAGCACTTGAAGAAGGGTGAGACAGGAGGATTGCTGTGGATTCATTACCAGCCTGGGCAACAGAGAGAGTTTCAGTTCAGCCACAGTCACATAATAAGACCATGCGTAAACCCCCACCCCAAGAAAACCCTAGAACACCACAAAAAGCAAAACAAAAATTATTAGGAAACAAAACAGCCCTATTTTACTGTATCAGCATTAATGTCTTTCAGAGTGGGACACCTTTTTTCCTCTGCAGTGCCTTTTGTTTTGTTTCTATGTGATTTTTCGTTTAAAATGAATACAGCAAAGACCTGCTTTATGTCTTGGCTCTAGTTACTGTATCTTTGATTCATATATCTTTATACTCCAAAGGTGTGTACCACTGCGTCTCTCTTTTATCTGTTATCTTCAAGATCACGGGCAGCAAGAACTGTGTGAACATTGACTTGTGCCCAAGTCTGGATGATACGACCTCATGAGTAGAAATATCAAGTAATATCTTTCAGCCTCTAAAAGTGAGAGATTGCAATCTGTAACCATGCATTAAACAAAGTATGCTGTGATTGGAAATTCACAGCCCAAAGTGCTTGATGCTTCATAAAACTAGGCCTAATTTATGAATGAATTATATTCACTCATAACCTGGCCAAGATAAGAAACAATTATATTTTCAATATTAATTGTTATTAGTTTTCTCCATCGTACTGTATGATGAAGTTGACTCAGAGGCATAGTATGTTATCTAAGAGATTAGGAGAGACTTTGAGGATGAATGCAGGAACACAATTAAGAAACACACACACACACACACACACACACACACACACACACACACACAGGTCTTAATGGTTAAAGACAAAGTTTGTCCATGTGTGGGAGACAGACATACCAAGAGGAAATTTTGGAAAGCTGATAATGGTGTCAGTCATGGTACAGGTGAAAGCAGAGGCCAAGAGAAGAGATGCGCTTCTGGCTTGTTTCCCCCTAGGAAGTGGGAAAGTTCTTGAATCATTCTTATTCTTCCCAAAAGGAAAAAGGCAAGACATACGAAGACCCTCCCTGAGCTCCCCAAAGGCACTGGCTCCTGAGCATGGAAGCCTGGCACTTAACCATCTTCCCAGCCTGTGGTACATACCTATGGAGATCGGGCTCATTAAGTCCTATACCTCACAGTCAAAGAAAAAAATAAGCTACTGTGTAAGGGAAACCTTACAGCCACAGAGAGAACCATCAAAGACCGGTCAGGTCAGGTATACTCACCACAGCAGCTGCAGTAGAAGACTGGGTTAGTCCTCTGGCCGGGTGAGCCCTCCATGGTTGTATTTGAACCTTCTGGATTGGTAAACTCTTGTTTTCAATAACCTGCCACTGGGCCTCAGCTCTCAGTGCAGGGGAGAAGGAAGCCCTCTGCAGAATCTTGTCCCTCGGGTACAACTCTCTCTCTCCCTCCACAATTACTTCCTAGCTTTGTTCTAGAAGCTGTTTCATACTTAATTAGAATCTAATTACTTTATGTAGCAAACTATGGAAATGATATGAAAGTATAGTCTTGAGTTTAATTACTTTGGCAGAAAGACATGCAGTGAGGAAAGGAGCAGCAGCTAAGCTCGGTGTCTCCAGCCGTTTCTTCTCCAGTCCTCTCTTAGCCTTCACAGAGTTCTGAAGCTGTGAAGTAGAAGAGGACTCAGGCAGGCACAGAAAAGGAAATGTCCTCTTCTTTCCCTTGACCTGTTCCACACATGAGAGTTTGACAAATGACACCCATCTCTGGAGATTCCACTTCTGAGAAAGTCTCAGATACACAGCAGGGTACAGGGGTTCTCCTTGCTGTAAGTACCTTGATGGTTCAAGGTCTTCCATGAGTGATTGCTTCCTTCTTTGTCCATTAAACAGCAACTGGGACCCTCTAAACCCAACGGAACTCCATGTGAAAGACTAATCCTACCCTATAACAACTGTCAGTGCATATGAGAAGGTTATTGAATGAGGTATTGGTGGATGCAGTAAATTTACACAGGGAGCCCAATTACCAGGTGAATTTAGAATAAACTGTTTTACAAAATGAAGTGCCCCTTATTTGATATTGAGTTATAATTTTTCTTGGAAAGACTTAGCAAGGGGTATGTGCTTCAAAAGCAGACACAAGCAATTTTTTTATTGTTTCATAGTTTATTTTTGGAAAGACTAAAATAGATGTTTCCTTACATGGTATTTAACTTGTGTATTTTTTCTTTTTCCAATGTTTTTTTATTTGAACTAGAAACAAGCTTGCTTCCATGTCAGTCCCAGCTCCCTCTCCCACCCCTCTTCCCTTGTTCCTTCACCAGCTTTCCCAGCCCCCCACCCAATCCCCACACCATTCCCCAGGGAGGGTGAGGTCCTCCATGGGGGATCTCCAGAGTCTGTCATTTCATCCAGGGCAGGATCTAGGGCCTCCCCCATGTGTCCAGGCTGAGAAAGCATCCTTCCATGTGGAGTGGGCTCCCAAAGTTCATTTGTATGCCATGGTAAACACTGATCTACTACCCAAGGCCCGGCCCCAGAGATTGCCTGAGTCTCCTCACTGATACTACATTCAGGGGGTCTAGATCGGTCCCTTGCTGGCCTCTCAGCCATCAGTCTGGGGTCCAAGAGCTCCCCCTTGTCAGGTCAGCTGTTTCTGTGGGTTTCACCAGCCTGGTCTTGACCCCTTTGCTCATCACTCCTCCCTCTCTGTCATTGGGTTCCAGGAGTTTAGTTTAGTGTTTAGCAGGGAGTATCTGTCTCTGCTTCCATCAGTCACTGGTTGAAGGTTCTAGGACAAGCAAGTGATTTTGTAGGAGGGGGTGTTTAATGAGAAAAATGGAGAGACTGTGCTAGAGTGAGTTGGTGAATCCTGGTTGGACATCTTAGCCAAATAATTTATATTGATTGATGGACAGTGATGTTTTCTCTCAGGAATGTGTCAGTGGCCAAATAAGGGAATGGAGCTTGGGGGTTAGCTTTAGGAATGTAGTCCAATGGTTTTTAACAAGGGGGAGAAGCCTAAAAGGCAAAACCCACTTTTGGCACGTGTGCCATGCGTCTGTGTTTGCCATGTTTAGCCCTGCTAGAACCCTTCATCTGGACATTCCTAGAAAAGCACAGAGAGATATCTGTGTGGAGCTAGCCATTCCCCATAATGCACCACTGGGGCAACTGCTGAGGCCCCTGTATGTTCTGTTGAATGGATAGCAGTGTGGTGATTGATACTTAATTACTGACTGTTGCAGCCGTATTGTGCTTATGTAAGGGGCTATTTCATTGTTAGTAAGTCATCCTGAAGAGTTCAGAAGGAAGCGTGGTGATGAGGGCGGAGCAGTACACGAGGAGACTGTTCATGAACCACCTTAGAACAGAGGGAGCTCAGGGGCCATTAAGGAATCTGAAGCAGCTAAGAGGAGAAGACTCTCCACAGAGAAAAAATTGCTGGGGAGATGAGAATCCTAACAAGTCAAGAGACTGTGGAAACCACCCTGGGAACAAGGAGGAAAGACAGGATTTCTCTAGTCAGCAGGGTCTCCAGTGCCCACTCCACAGAGAACACTGGCACCTATGACAGTGATGTAACCAGGACTCATTCCCACTGGGCACCCCAGACAGGTGACATGGTTGCACATTTTTCCTGACAAGACTCTGTCCCTGTCGAGGGCCTTCAGGAGAGGAACTCTTCTATCCCAAAGCAGCCATGTTCTTAGCCTGGAGCCATCACTCCCCAGTTCATCTGCAGGCTCAGAGCTGGCTGTGTGGCTGCACTATGTCCACCAGGGGGACCCATTGTACCATGAACCTTCACTTGTATCCCTGGAGCCAAGCCCTGGCTGCATGTGCCTGCCCTCTGGGCCAGAGTGCAGGAAGAGCTAGTCTCTCCCAGCCCCAGAGCTGCTTGAGCCATACACACCTGTGCTTATACTTTGTTCCCTGCCTTTCCACTGTCATCCATGCCACACATGGTTACCAATGTGGCAGCAAAGGTTTGCTCCCCTGGACACCAGTGTCATTACTGAATGGACCCCAGGGACTTCGTTCATCGACGTTTACTTGTGTTCAGTCCCCACCTCTATGGTGTCTCACTCATCAACACCAGTACTGTCTGTGCAAGCGGCCCGTGTGAAAAATCCATCACCTTCTCTGAATTTGTCAAATGCAAACAGACTAGACATTGCTAATGTACTTATTGCCTCTATACATTGTATATATTTATTGCATATGGTTTTTCTTATGTTAGTTCTAGCCTTCTATTTTGTATTAGACAAAAGAGGAGAATTGTGGTGATATATTATTTATGATTTATTAAAGCCACTGGAGATAAAAATAAAAAGATCCATCACCAACATGGATCTTTCCCTGCTGGGAAAGGTAAAATCCAGGAAGACCTCAGAAGTCACTGCTATGAAAGTCAGCCAAGCCTTCTTCACCACTGGGGACAAGCTCTGCATTGACTGCCTAGGTCCTTGTTATGTTTCTCACCATTGTTTGGGACATGAGTGTTATTTGCAGGACAAGGAGTGCC